CAATCCCCACGCACCCCTCCCACCGCCCCAAGTACATTCCACTATGCAACCTTAATTGTGGACTCTTGTGATAACCATAATACCCTATCATACATCGCTTTTAAATTATTCAGTCCCTCATCTGTTTCAGTGCAGTATACACAATTTATCCAGTTTTTCTCAGTCTTAACTACCCCAATTTCTTGAGAACAGACTGTAACTGAGGGACCTTAAGGCAGCAGATGCCATGGGGCAAGGGCCTCCAGGAAAATGGACTTGTCCAGGCCTCATTCCAGAGAGGCAGTTTGGGGCATTTGCTCTGCTTCCCAAACTCCTTAAAACCCAAAGCCACAACTTTCTAACTGATTTCAACTGACAGCAATGTTCCACCAGGTTTCTGAGGCTGGAAGTCCTTAACAGAAGGAGACTGTCCATCTCCCTCACAGGGCAGTGGGGGGGTTTGAAAAGGTGACCTTTTGGTTAGCGGTGTTAACATGTAATGCACTACTCCACCAATGCCAAGGTGGCCATAAAATGGAAAAAAGAGAAGGAAAAAAAAAAGGCAGGTGAAGTTCAAATTCCCACCAGTAGAAGGCAACCTTAGTTAGGTATAATAAATCATAGGAAAAAAAGCCTTAATGACCATACAAGTAGAATAATAATAGTCCAATATTATTACCCTAAATGTAGTTATCTATTTATGAGCACCTTAAAATGTAAGTCGATGACGACTGCACTGATTTTCATAGAAACCTGCAAGTAGACAATCAGCTATTATTCTAATTGTACTAAAAAATTAATGTTTCTACCAAACTTAGAAATATTTAACAACGTGCTTCCTTTAAGGGTTAATAACAAGAACCAGGCTTCGTGTTTTACCACCAACCTTAAACAAGAGATTAAAATATAAAATGAATTAGCCTTTTCAGTTCTAAAATATCAGGCAATTAATTTTTGCAAAGTGCTCAGCCTGAAATACTATTACTTGAGAGACTGTGTATCTAATTATATGCAGCAATTTTAGTGAAAGGCATGTATCAAATTCATACACAATGAAAATTTACCCAGTTTCCTCCATGATGCAGCCGCCCCAGGATTCTGTGCAGTCACATTCTAGTTATAAAACAATAAAACAACAGAAGAAAAGAGAAATAACAGTCACAACTTCAGTTGATATTATGGCTCTTTAAATAAATCTTTATCACCGAGTCCATGTTAAGTAGTTTCAGAGAGTAAAGCCCCAGAGAAATTTTGTTTCTTTTAAATCAATTTATCCTTTCCTAAATCACAGGTAAATTTCTAAGAAAACAGTTCACAAAAAAATAAAACTATACCTCTATTTTTGCCACTAGGATTATTAGATTCTTAACTCCAATGGGCAGTAAAAAGGTATCACGGTCTAGAAGTCAGAAAGCTTAAATTCTAGTCCAACAACTACCATATGAGCACCCCACGGGAAAGTGGCTTAACATTTCTTGGGTCCCAAAGTTTCCTATTTGACAATCTCTCTCTTTCCTGCACAAGGAAGAGGGTGTCTGTCTGTACTCTGTGAATTGTAAAGCTTTGTGGTATCAATCCAACAAATTACCACTGAAGCATGTCTAACCAAGATTCAACTAAAGTCAAAGGGGAAAATTCAATTTTCAAGAATCAAAGCAATTACTTGATCATCGACTTGAGGAACACTAAATTAAAAGGTTAAGAAAAGAAGGGGCAATCTGAAAGTCAAAGTAACTACTTAAATAGCAACAGGTAAGAATACATAGGGGTACAACCATCAGGCTGCACAGACAGTTGGGTGGAGGGGGGTGAAGCAAATGGGAAAAGACATGGTAATGATGGGTGAAAAGACAGTTATGATGGGCAAGGTCCAGTGGTGGTTAATGTTATAAAACATAATGCATGAGAATGATTACACGAAACATGAAGAACAGTGTGAAACACAATGCACGTAAACTTTGTAAGCAAACCAATAAAAAAATGTAAATAGCAATCATATATCTGACTTCAGAATCAGAACCTGAAATACTGACACTGATATGGATGTCTAATCTCTCCTATTCTCTTCTCCATCGCTGCTAAAAATATTTTCAAAGAAAACCTTCCAAATGAATTTACTTAAAGAAATTAAAGAACTAATGAATAACTGAACAAAACATTTTCAAAAGGAAGGAGTTAGACTAAACATTGATAATTAACTTTGTTCTTCAACTTATCTCATTATCCAATCCAGAAACTTCTCTCAGCGAATATCACTGGCCTCATCCCAGCACCAGAAGTTTCAATAAGGTCACAAACCCACTCATCCTCCTTTCTAATGTTAATACATCTATGTCGCCAGACTGGGTCTTAAATGCCCCTTTAATGAAGATTGGGTATTTTGGTGGTAAATCCAATACTCTGAGATAGATATTAACAACAAAAAAAATGAGGTTTTGGAGGTTTTCTAAATGCCACTAAGCATGTATGATGATTAAGTTATTTGATGATTTAATATGGTATGCTTGGAAGCAGGAGTGGCATCCACTTCCTAAACAACATGCCTCCAGAAACGCTATAAACGTTGATGAATGACGATAGTTATAGAAAGGCTTCAGGCCTTCTGTTCATATGATCACTGTGAGTCGTGCTCGGCTCGAAGGCAATCAACAACAGCAACAATATGGTAGGTCTATAAAGGGAATCAAGAAGCTGCCAGCTACACATTTTTATTCTGTTTCCTGTAAGACTTAGCACTAATGACAATTATTTGGTAGTAGTTACAAAAGCAGAGAGAGTAGAAACGTGCTAAGGTATTGGGTTCTTTTCTTTTCCAGGGATTGGAATCGAGTAGAAAACTTTATTTCTAACATTTCATATTTTCACAGAAGGGAGGCATCTTCTACTTAATTCCTAGTTAAAAAACTAATTTAAGAAAACACCTTGATCGATCATCTTTCTGTAGACTTGGTCTCAGGATGACTCCCCTAAATCCAGGGTATCCTTGTCTTTATAAAAATATGTATTATAATGATATTTTATAATTGTGTTGGCATAACAATGGATATACCCAAGTGGAATTACATTTACTTTCTTTCCAAGATTTTTAAAGGAACTGAAGAATTTATCAGGTCCTTAAAACCATTGTAGGGCCTAAGTAATGTGTCATTGGTTAGGTCAGCCTTTCTTTTCATCTACTTCTCATCTGATTACTGAAACAGGCAACATTCAACAGTCAGTCTCTGGCTGTATTTTTCTAGTGAGTGATATCCACAGACTAGTTTGTACTCCCTCTTGCACTATCCCTAGGATAGGGTCTTCCTATAGGAAAGCTTTCTCTCACTTTTCTGATGGAACTACTATCTAAGTTTAATTTTAATTGGGCAGGGGAGGAAAGTTCCTCTTAATTTAAAGCACTTCCTCAACCCAGCTATGTCACTACTCAACTTGTGATGGCATCCTACACTTACACTTAATCGATTAGAACCAAGAAGAGTGTGTAGAGTAAGTGTTAATGGTAAGGAATTGTCCTGCCAACCCAAAGGTACATGGTTTGGTCCCACGAGCTGCTGTGTGGGAGAATGATGGACAATCTCCTCCCATGAGATTTACTACATCGGAAAACTTGATGGAAAGTCAACTGTGGGTTGGTTCCAACTCAATGCACAACAACTCTAACATTCTTCAGTGTAAGAAGAAGTTGACTTGTGCCATGAGATGATAGATCCGAATCATGTCCTCTATTTTATGAATTTTAAAAGGGAAGTTTCCAGAACCCAGATTAAGAATTACCTTAAGCTGCTCATTTTTTAAGATAAAGGAGATATACTAAAATTCAACTCTAATATCTTTGGAATAAAAACTATTTATTGACTGGGCATGCATTAAACAGACAGAATGGCACATGAAAGTGAGTAAGAAGGTCAGTGTACATACTTGGCTTTCTGCTAGAAGGTTCCCATTGGATTCCAAGGTTTTGAGCCAGGCTTTGCGATAATACTTGTGCCACTGCCATTGGAAGACCATACTGTTTTTCAGAGTTGAGAGTGTGTGGGAAACATTTGAGAGAGTGCACAAAGCTAGTTATTATTTCTTAATCGTTATCACATATCATCTCAGTTCCCCAAAAAGAGTCCTCACAGCTTCTAAATATGGCATATGCTCCTCATCACTCCTTCCTTACAGCTTCTTCCTCCATACTGGGCCCAAGAAGCAGAAAGCCTCTCCTAACTACGTGGTATCTTTCAGAACTTGATGCTTTCACATGAAAAGATAAAACACAAAGCACAAAAGGCTGTGCCCCAAGTTGGCTCACACCAAACCAAGAATTAATGTCATTTACTACAAGTATGGCAAGATAAGTCCCCCAACTTGAATGATGATTATTGGGGCAATCTGGTATTGACTAGGATTTAGATACTGATGGGGTATAGTCGTAGATGCAGACTGAAATGAGTTAAAAACTTAATGTGGTCAAAAGAACATTATAACTAGGGCTAACAGTTACCAAGGAAGGGTTTAAAAACTGGTAGAAACTTAACACCCTATCTATGGAGGCCTAAAAACTTCTAGGCCAATCTATGGCTTGCATTTACTTGATAAAATGAAAAAGTTCGCATTATGAGATGAAATAATAGAATACCTCTTTGCTAACGCCAAGATCACTTTTGGGTTCTATGTGCTACTGTAAACCACACATACCATGTTCTCACAATCAATATTCTAAGCAAGCATGAGAAGGGCAATAAACTTGGTCAAAGGGGAAGAAGAAGAGGTTGGATACAAAGATAACATGTGACTTTAGGAAGACAGATAAAGTTTTACCTCATTCACACCAACTCCTCTTGTGCGAGAACAGACACCTCCAAAGAAACTCAGACTGCTTCTCTTGTAGTGAAACGTCACACGCCTCGAGGAAAGACAGAAAAGTACAATGAGGAAACCTACGTAGTAACCATCACATGAATTCTCCTCAAACATGAGAATAAGTCTACTCTCCTACAACCAACATGCCAAGGCAATTTTCCTTCCTAAAGCTGAAAAAGTGCATTTTAAATGTCTTTCATTTATGTTGTCAGAATCATCTCAATGAGCAGATGTTAACTGAGCAGCTGCTAAACCATGACTAGGCTAGAACTGAGGACATGAAGCTAGAGAACACAGGACTCGCCCTTTTTCTTGCAGAGAAACTTCATTGTACAACACTGATGGTTACTATGAGTTGTCAACTAAAGACGGAGGGCAGTGAAAGAAAAGAGGAAAGGTGAGCGGGATGGAAAGATGATGCTGGCTGGCTTGATTCCAGCACAGAATCATCAGCTCCAAAGGGAAATACAGTATCCTTTCCCTAGGGATAGGGAGCTCTGGTGACGTAATCTGCAGGCAGCTCAGGTGCTAATCAGAGGAGGTGCCTCTATGGTGGTTCAAATCTAAAAGACCCTTCCCAGGCTCTCTTGCAGCTAGGTGTGGCCATGCGACTAAGTCCCGTCCAGTTTTCAGGTAAGCTGCATTAAGGGAATTGATTCACCAGGAAGGGCTGCCCTGCACCCTCCTCCATGCCTATCATCCTGTGTCTTTAATGATGTGATGGTCAGGGTGCCAGCAGAAATCATGAGTCATGGACTGACCCTGAAGATGTGCTCTGAGGACAGAGCTTATGACTGCAGAACCACTGTCCCAGCACCAAACACCCTATTTCCTCCATTCTTACATAACAGAGATAGGGATAAAGATCAGCCTTGTTTAACGCATTGTCTCTTAACTTACTTGATACAATAAAGAGATAAAAACAAATGTCAAACCAAAGGGGACAATAAAAGTGGAGATGGCAACATACGAGATGAGGTGCACAGCATCGGCGTGCTGCTTGATGCGTTGCCGGTACTTGGAGAACTCATGCAGCATCTGCACGGGGTTGGTGGTGATGTCAATGTGATCTTTCTCAGTCCAGGTCTCCACGGCCACCAGGACCACCCTAGTGTTGAGCTGCTCCTTGTAGATCTGAGGGTACACAACAGGACAGGTGCAGGAGGAAAACACTGGGTCAAACATGCACGATCAGTGAGTCAGAGTCAGTGGAAGGACAAGAAAGGGGAGGTGAGAGGAGAACACGGGGTCATAATTAGCTCGTCATAGAGAACCTTCCTTCCTCTTTCCCAAGAGCATGCATAAATAAGTAAATACCACAGGGGATTCAGTCCTGTGCCGCCTGCTCTCACATAAGATTATTCCAAGCCCAGATCAGCACTCCCAGTGCCAAGGTTGGAGCACAGCAGAGATTATGAGGATGACTCGAGGTCAGGCAGGATTTCTTTTGGTTGTACATCAGGTCACTATGAGTCAGAACTGATGCGATGGTGCCCGACAATGACAGTACCATGGTATCTCACTAGGGGGCAGACTCTAAAGTCTGGGCCTAAGCAGAAAACAGAATGTAGTAAAACAGCACTAATAACCTTTCAGGAAATAATAACCTTTCCTGAAGGAAAATTAGCTATTTCCACAGGGTTGGAATGGACCACTAACTGCAAACAATCACCAATCATACTGGCTTGCTTGCCTTGGGAAGGTGTGTTATATGAAATAGAAAAGAATACTAGGAGAGAACCATGGATCTAGAGCCCAAAGAGGGAACGGGAGAGACTACTGCCCACCTGACATGCATCACATGTAACATCATCCATGACATTAGAGTCTCTTCTTTGCTCCCCTTCTCTACTTTTGGTGATACAATTAAGTAAATCTCATAACTAATATTCAACGAATACTGTTAATTTGCTCTGGTTTCAAGCTAATGTTTGAATGGATGATCTTTTAAGTCATTAATAAAAGAAACTATCCCCAAGTCTGAATCAGCATGAAACTAAAAGAGTTTCACAAGAAAGCAAGCAAAATGTAATTAGAAAAAATAATAATGGTGGTACGCTTCAGTACCCCCAAGGGGAACTGAAAATAGAAATTGCTTTCTGTAAGATGTGATTCTATTTGATCATGCTTAAATACAAAGATTCTCCAAGTAAAGTACTTTTATGTGTGTGTGTGGGGGAATGGTGTCTAATAGCCACTTCTGTTTATCTTTAGGAAGGCTAACAAAAATTGTAGTCATTAATAAAGTTTCTTACATGAAAAAAATTAATAAAGCAAGTCTAAACTGACTCCCAGATGTTAAACCATAACTCAGTAAGTTATTCTATGCCCATCCACTTATATTAAACTTGTACTCAACTCTGTGTACCAGCTATTACATTAATATTAATAGTATTAGAAGTTTCTGGGTTACCAACGTGAACAAAATAAATACCATTTAGAGGACTAGCATTTATAACTAGATGTTTCTTTCGTTTGGGAGAAAAATGCAAAAAAATGTAAAAATTATTTAGCCAAACAAAACAGCATTCTGTTTTAAAACATCAAATAAGTGTGATATAGTTAACTTCTAACTATTAAAATGCAGTCACCTATTGGAACATATCACATAACATTCATATCTATGGATTTCCTACCTGAAACAAGGGGGGAAAAATCTTTTAACGATCATTCTTTTTAATTTTCCAAGTGAAGGAGGGATACATCAATATAAAGAGAAGTTTGAAGAGCTAGAAGTTTCTTTTAAAATGCAGAATTTCCTTCAAAATACTTTTATCTGAGAAAGCACTTACTCTGTCACCCAGAAATAAAGCCCGAAAGCACTCTCCTTAGGGAAACAAGAGGAAATATTTCTTCTTCATTCAAAGATCTTTTTGCATTGCCTGTATCTTCAAAATATATATGCTCTTAATCTATTATTTCTTCTCTGCGAATATATTATTTATAGTTCTAATTGCCCAGTAGTAAGAAGTTGAGCTGCAATCCTGAAGGTACGCAGTTCAAATCCACCAGCAGCTCCAGGGGAAAAGAATGGGCAGTTTCCTCCCTTGCAATTAACTGCCTCTGAAAACCTGCTGGATAGTCAGCTATGGGTCAGTTCTGATTCGATAGCACAAACAACAGCAACAACAACACTGTCACTTAGGGCAATGAAATAAACTGGTTATTATTAACGAAGTCTCATTTCCCAAGAGTAATTTATGCTTTGCTTGGCAGCTAATTTTCTCCAGTGTTTTGTCATGCATACATTTTAGTGGCAATGAGGTTCAGACAGCAGTTAGCCTCAATGCTAAAGCATCCTGGAGATTCTGAGAATAACTCAACAGTCCCTCACACCCCAGCCAGCACTATTCTACCGATCATGCTATCACATCTGGTCAGATGAGCTTAAGAATTCGATTTATACATTTGCAAAAAAAAAAAAAAATGACAATAACATTTAAGTAAAGAGAGCTGTAAAGCATTCTATCTTGGCAAAAATAGCTTTGAGAATACTTACAGAATCCAGGATACTTACAGAATCCACAAGGTTGACCACAGACTTAGCAAAGTTGTTGGTATGAGCATGAGAAGAGCGATATTTCTTATACTAAGAGGAAAAAAAGGTATGAGTCACTACCCAATCATAATGATGTTAAATTCCAAAATACTCTAGAAGTAGAAATCTCATCACAAAAGTATAAACAAGGAAAAAAAAAAAAAAGTATAAACAAGGATTTTAAAATATAGACATTTTTGTTTCTGTCATGCTGGTATAAAGTGGTGGTATTCTTTTATTTCTCTGTCCAGAAACAAAACAGACAACCTAAAATTCTCACACTAATCTGGGTAAGGAAGAGTGCCTGCAGAAACTGTGTCGGAGGCTTTACACCTGAAAACCCAGTGCTTAATGTCTAACGGAGCTCTGGGGGAGCTTACTTACCTACAGGAGAAAGAAGTAGTTTTGCTACTAACCCAAACCCAATGCTACAGTTGGACTTCTACAGCTGCTCCAGGGGGCGGCAAGATAGGCACTCTCCTCCTGTGTGACTTACAGCCTCTGAAAACCTACTGGAGGGCCAGCTATAAGTTGGTTCAACTCTGAAGTAATGAGTTTGAGCTTTTTTTTCCTAATGCAGTCTTAATGTCTACAAACGCAACCTTCTTATTTTCCTTGAAACAAATTTTCCTAGTTTATAAAAGTTCGAGATTTTTTAAAAAATTAGCCTCAACTGGACCTCATCTTTTTTTTTTTACCCAAATGAAGAAAATTTTCTATTCATCACTTCAGATATTGCCCAGAATAACAGACGCATTTGCAGAAGATCTGGAACCGTCTTCCACAAGCACACTTCCTTCACCCTTTCCTATGTTTCTGACTAGAACAAAGAGGACTGATCATTTGTTTTTTGATGATTATTTAAGAGAGTAAAGTAACTTGATAGGATAAGGCTATCACAACATATGGAAGGCTACATTTTTTTTTCAGCAAGCTCAATGTCTTTTTTTTTAAATTTAGGTTGTTTATTTTTCATTTCAATGAACATCTACAGAGATTTTGGGATTCCATTCATTCATTGTTGCACCCTTCTCC